CAAGAAGATAGCGCCCCTACGAGACCACCAACACCTGTGCAGAGACGTTCCAGCAGTCGTCAAGTGAGACCACCTGTCAGATTCTCAGACTATATCGTCTACAAGTGAACTCTAAGTGAACTCTAAGTGAATATTAAGCACTGAGACGACGCAAGAACATTGTTGACATTTATTACTAATTACTAACGAAACACGTTCATGGGGATGATTAGTTGTTTAATTCAGAGAGCATTGATTTAAGAGGATGTAAGCTTTTTCCACGTAGAGAGGGATGTAATGTAGTTACGTCACTGATTATAAGTTATGATTATGTATGTACATAAATTAAGGACATAAATAAATGCACGAGGAGATACAACATTGAGTTCCCTCTATCTTTCCTTCCATCCTGACGTTTGGTTTCTCTACTTGGTTTTCTTATTTCTCAGCTTCAACTTCTTCGAAAGCTCCGCCTGTGCTGTTTATTATTTTTGCTAACATCATCTGAGGTATTTCATAGCCATAGAAAGCGCAGTTTGTTAAGGAGGGGTTGTAAACAAAGCCGTGTCTGACGAAATAGATATATTTATTTCAGAAAGTATATATGGCCAAAAAAGCGACACAAATTCGTTTAGAAAAATATTTAAATGGTTATTTGTTTTTCGCTAACTTTTCTAAAGTTCTCGATCTCTCCGATATTGATTACTAGTCGAGAAACCCGTGAAATTTCACTGTTGTTCCAAGTGAGAAATGATTTCTATCAAATCTCCATCGATCCAGCAGACTTATCTTATCTAGCAGACTTAGATATTGATATAAATTTGCCATTTGATACAAACTTCAGATACTATAGCCCTCATGATTTCCACAGTGATAATGATATCAATGAATGCTCATCAAATTACAAAACATTCTCTGCACTTCATTGCAATAATAGAAGTTTGGCTGCCAATTATGATAATCTTGTACAAATGCTTTTTGATTTAAAATTCTCATTTTCTCTAATTGATCTTTCTGAAACTAAATTAAAATTTGATAAGGATCCTCTGTCTAATACTGACATAGACGGATATGAATTTGTTTCCCAACCAAGTCATTTAAATGCTGGTGGTGTAGCTTTCTATATAAAAGATGGACTAGATATTAGTATCCGTTCAGGAATATCCCTATCAGAGCCTGAGTTTGAAGCTCTCTGGATTGAAATTCACTCTAAGAATCAATCAAATCTATTGTGTGGAATTATATATAGACATCCAAACARCAATACTGATAAATKTTTGGACTAYTTGAATTCCACAGTTGAAAAGATACACCAAGAGAATAAACTTTGCTTAATAATGGGAGACTTTAATATTGATTTATTGAAAGATCATTTACCTAATTTTATCATTTTTGACAAGCCTGTGCATTTAAAATCTAGGGGAAATGTTCATAAAAGAAATTATTCTAAACTAAACAAGTTTGCATTGATCGATGAAATTTCATCAATAAATCCCTCCTGAGCTTGATCCATCTGAAATGTTCAGTTGTTTTCACAATAGAGTATCTGTAATAGTTGATAGGCATGTACCAATAAGACAACTGTCCAGGAAAGAAATAAAATACAAATCAAAGCCCTGGATAACCCAAGGAATCAAAATATCTATTCATGTCAAAAAAAAAAATTATATTGTAAATATTTAAAATCAAAATCCACTTACTATCACATAAAATTTAAATTGTACAGAAATAAATTAAATCATTTGATAAAAATAAGCAAAAGAATGTACTACAATAACTTCTTTCTTGAAAATAGTGATAACACAAAGAGAATTTGGAAGGGTATTAGACAAATTCCATTCCATCAAAACATAACAAAAACAAGAGGACTGTATCTAAAATTATTGAAAATGATGTTGAAATCACTGATCCCAAAAAGATAGCTAATGCTTTTAATAGCTACTTTACTAACATTGGAAATAATCTTGCAAATTCTGTCCCAAATGTAGAAAAATCACATCTTGACTTCATGAAAACCCCAATATGTAATAGTTTTTATATTTTTCCTGTCACTTCCACTGAAATTGAAGAAGAAATCTCCAATTTGAATATTTCAAAGGCAACAGGTCCTTTCAGCATACCAACCAGGTTACTAAAGTTACTTAAAAATGTTTTGGCAAAGCCTATGTGTTTATACGGTGTGTTATTATGCTCATTATTATAATTGTAAATAGCAGAAATCCCGACCCTAAATGTAATGACTTTTAATTAAGAATATGTAAACCGACTTCCAAGCATTTTTAGCTTTTTAGTTATTTTTGGAAGTTGGTACCCCTCAATCTGTTCAACATAAAATAATGTATCAAATTAGAACAAAAAATGTAATAATGGGTACAAATAAAGTTCTTCTTCATCCACCAGCCCTTGCCCAAATACTCCCCTCCAGTCAAGAATATGAAAGGTACCGACTGATTAGGTTTGATTGACGGCAGCGAAGAACCAAATTCAGCATCGCAGACACAGCCTGTGGGCTGCCACAGGCAATCCAGTAATAATTTTATGAGCGCTGGCCATAAACCAAAGTAATGAAATATCGGTTAACTATTAGATACTACTGCTAGTTTCTATCTTCATTTTTCAAAAGATTTTTTTTCTTCATAAATGTTTGCAGTAGAAAATTCTAAGTCTAACACCTAACCTCATTACGCATTCAATATAGTCCTTGAATGCGTAATGACCAAGAATATGTGGAGTATAAAGCCCTACAAATAACAAAGAAAACCGTGTTAAGTAGGAACTAATCACTGTTTCTGCGATTGCCAGTCACACGCGACCAACTGAGACCTAAATCAAACCTAAAAAATATTTATATTTTCATCCAGAGGAAATGGCTAAACAGTCCGATCTACATGAGTTTGACAACGTATTTCGTCACGTGAAATCCTTTGGTAGATACCAGGTCATCGGGTACTTGAGCATAAACCTGTTGATATTTTCCTTGTCATCTCAATGGGGTGGCATTGTTTTTGCACTCAGCTCTCCTGGCTTCCACTGCGCTAACACTACCGGGAATACCACTTGCGAACCAAACGTATGCTGTGATGAATGCACTTCGTACGTGTTTGATGGGACTTTTACTAGTAGTGTAACCAAGGTGAGTACAAATAATGTACCTTATGCATAGGAGTTTGATGGTCTTTATACTTGAAGAGTCTCCAAGGTGAGTACAAATAATGTACCTTGTACTAACAATGAATAGGTGCTTCATGGTCCCTGTACCAGTAGGGTTTCCCAGGTGAGTACAGATAATGTAACGTACCTTGTTAATAACAGGTCATACACACAATACTAAAGGTGCTCATTGCTCTCGGTGTTGCAACCGATTCTCATTGTGTGTTATTTCCTTTGTATTTTCAAGTGGAATCTCATTTGTGACCGCGCGTACCTGGGTGCTACCATCCAGTCGTGTTTCTTTGTGGGGATGCTGATTGGTTCATTTGTGACCGGGATGGTGTCAGACGCCTGGGGCAGAAAGGAGTGTATTTTCTTCTGCAACGCTTTGTTCGTACGTATTTGTATAACTTATAGTTATTGTTCATTATCAACGCAAAAATATCTTACACCTTGATTGTATTTGGTTTATTTAAGGTTATTTCAAAGGCGTAACAATGTACCATTTTCCCGCCAATTCACACGCGTACGCGTTTCCTCTTTAGGGTATATCCAAAGGTTCATGTAAAACGTTTTAGGGGACGGTCGTACCCCTCGATCGCCCCCTCACTACATCACTGGGATGTTTGTCTTTCAGATTGTATCCAACACTGCCTCAGCATTTGTCGACTGCATTTCATTTTTCGCCTTTCTACGATTCACAGTGGGCTTTAGCATGACTGGAGTGATGCTAACATCGTATATTTACGGCGTGGAGCTGGCAGGACCCAAGAAGCGTACAGCAGCGGGCATCATCACGTATTTCTACTGGTCTGGGTCCTCGGTTGTGTTTACTCTTATTGCTTACCTGATTCGTGACTGGAGATATCTCCTTACGGCTACTTGCTTACCTAACATCTTGCTCTTCCCATTCTGGAGGTTGGTAATTGTCGTAAATATGATTGTGAACTGACCACCCTCAGTGCCTACACCTCATTATTAACCACTTCTCATGATTGTAAACTGACCACCCTCAGTGCCTACACCTCATTACTAACCACCTCTCATGATTGTATACTGACCACCCTCAGTGTCTACACCTCATTACTAACCACCTCTCATGATTGTAAACTGACTACCCCCAGTGTCTACACCTCATTACTAACCACCTCTCATGATTGTAAACTGAACACCCTCAGTGTCTACACCTCATTACTAACCACCTCTCATGATTGTA